GGTTTATGTGGCCTTGGGCAGGATAGCAGGCCACCAGGATGTGCTGCTGCGGCTTTTCCATTGATGATTCTAAATTGAATTCGACTTCCAAGTGCTGATCGATTGACTAATCTTTGTTGGTATTGAGCGACTTGTGGTTGATTTATGGTGGCTGGAGACTACAATTATAATTTATAGGCTGACGAGTGATCGAGTTCCTTGCTTCGCTAACGTAAGTGATGACGATGAAAATTTGTTCGAGGGTGTTTGCAGCTTGGCGCGTGGGCAAAACCGTAAAGCAATGGCTCTCCATGGAAAAAACGAATTTGTTAACGATTTCATTTTAATGTTTCATTAGTGACGTACTATGTATATGTAATATATTAAAATTTAAGGATTCATCTTCATAATATTTTAAATAATAAAATTTAATATTTTATATTTAAATTTTATTATTTACATAATATAATATTTATTTAATGAAGTTATTGACTTGTTGGATCTCATCATTCTGGGCCAATCAATGCCTTCTTCTAATAAGTTCTTGCATAACACGTTTTGAATTGTCAAATGAATTCTGCGCTTCCTATACAAATGGCATGAGCTGCACAGGATCTCCCTCTTGCTATACATCACTACCTTCACCTAGCAAGCCCGTGTATGGATTTGAGCACCCAAGCAACTTTTTGGTCTTTGTAACACAAAAAATTATTTGGTGTGGATATTGGATAGAGAGAATCATCCGAATTTCTCTCTGTGTATAGTAAAAGCGCAGTCAAAATGCAGCTAAAGCGCAGCTGCTACATTAACTACGCTTTGATTGTAAACAGAGACAAATCTGAATGATTCTCTCTATTCAGTGTCTGCACCTAATATTTTACCTTTAACACACCCTCAATCCAGTTGATGCTCTTGATTAGGAACTCCCATATAATTTCATTGTTTCTTTATTATCAAGAGATTTAGGTGACAAATGTCGAGAGATTTAGGTTACCATTATAGCTCTCTTTTGAAAAGTCAATTGCTAATGTTCATGGCAATGAATATAAGCTGCATTGGGGATTAAATCTTTGCATCTGATGCATAAAGAGGAATTATTATGGTAGAGATTAGAGAGAAATCCGTTAGCTACTAATGCATGGTTAGTATATAGAAGATTTTTGGATGTGAATTATTGATTATTGCCCGAGAGAATGTCAAGCAAGTGATAACATATTACTGTTGGTTGTAAATTTTTGCAGGACATTATTTTCAAAGTTACTCAATGGGGAATTTTGGAATGAATGCATAACTGAACTGAAGCGGAAAGTTCATCATAATGCACGATTGGTTCATATTTATTAAAGTTCTGTCTACCAATCATGGAAAGCTGGTAATGCTCTTAAGCTTCGTATGAATGTTCCAACTCCTTCAATTGCTGCAGTTGAAGTTCTAAAATCTGCTTTGTGTCCTCATTTAAATCTGATTAAGGTGTTCTGGGATGCTAACCAACTTATACAATTGAATCAAACTTTTTGGCATCCCCCTCCTTATTGGATTAAGATTAATGGTTATGCTTCTCTCTTAACGTAATTTAACCTAATTGAAATAGGATATCATAGCATCTCCTGAGTAAAGGGGAAAACTTTAGAAAATCACCTAAATGAGGAAGTTAATTCCTATATATTAAAGGGAATTTGTGTTGAATAAGATGTCGTAATTCATCTCATATAATAATATGAGCAGTATGAATACGGTGTGGCCGATTCAAATCCCATATGATAGGTGGATAATTAGACATTGATCTAAAATCATGAGAAGGAAGAGTTGAACTAGCAGTATCAATAAGTTCTAAATTAGGATAAGGTGGAGGAGGAACTTCTATATAATCAAAAGGGTTATCTTCCATGAATATTTTTCAATTGTTCATCCCCATTTTTATGTTGTCTATGTTGTGCTGATAATCTATGTTGTCCAACATCTGCTAATGGTCAAAGGATAAGAGCTTATTGCTCTTCTATTTTATGTGTTCTATCATTCAAGGATGGACCTTAGAGCCCAGTCTTGGCTGAATACGGTGTTCATAATTGCTTGAAGTACTTCTGGCCGGTTTGAGGAGCGTTGGAATGACAAAATTTTATACTCTTGTTATTTCTACTTTTAATAATTGTATTTTGGAAATATTTCTCATAGAACAAACTAAACTATTACCTTCTAGAAAATTTATATCAACAAACTTAATATTTAATGTCTTAGGATTATACAAAAATCAAACATGTATAGAAAAAATTGGAAAAGACTAGACATTATTTACCTGGAAAACATTAAAACAAGAAAAGCACTATTGGGCTTGTCTCAATTATATAGATTTACTATATAATAGGAGATATAAGAATAATTTTCCTTCCTTATGTTTAAAGAAAATGTGAGTAGTCATAACACATTTTTATAATTTCTCTGGTAAGGATTATTAAATTTTAATGTCCAAAGAAGGACAATTATAGATCCAAAAATATAGGGAAATCTTGATAAAAGTATTAAACTAATGGCAACGATTGATAGAGGTAGCCGTCGGCGATGATAGCCGAAAAATGTAAGAGAGCTTTTTAGTTCGCTCAGCACTTCTCCTCTCACTTCTTGTAGAGAATGATTCCCTATTTATAGACTTTTTGGGACAGTAGTTTTAATAAATTTGGCCATAGTTCAAGCACTGCATTGTACGATCCATATTGATCAACTTGATCATAAATCATTTATCAAACATTTCAATTCCTTAAGGATATCATAATCAAGTGATCTTAGGCTCATTAGAGTTATCTCATCGAGCCGCTTGATTTGACTATAATGATACTATAATCGGAGTCAGTTTATCCATCCATTTATATTAAGAAGCTTTCAAATATCATGCAAGTGCTCGATATGAACTCATTTGGAGTCGTATAAGATTATTTGAATAGTCGATATATTCATCATGACGAAACATTGAGATTGAGTATAAGTACGCAAAAATTGAAGTTCAAATAAAAATGAATTTAATTATATAAGTTTCTCATTTAATTATTGTCATGAAATTCATGCAGACCAATACAATTTTTTGTTGACATGTCAAGGATTTACTTATTCAATGCATATATCTTATTATTTTTATGCTCTTAAAACACCTAAATAATATCCTAAATTACAATTCTCCGCACTCCATCACCACACTACCAAACATGTCACGTAAATATCCTATTCCTTTCTTTTTTTTCTTTTGATAGAAAAGTGCAAATTGCATTAAAATTTGATATTACAAAAGCTAAGTGATGTCAATTCTATAACAATCTTCCTTAACCATCTTAACAATTGATGGTTGAAGATTATTAAAGCAACATCCCAATCAAAATTATCAAAAATTGCTAAGGAGACATAATAATCAGCCACCTAATTTCATTTTTTACTACAGATACATAAATAAATAACTTTGTTAAAATCACTAAGAAATGATCAATCCACATTAAAATTATGTACATCCATATCTTTGGCCTTCTTTAATGACTTATCAAAAAAAGTCAGCATTTAAATTGTCACCTTCAATTATGATACTTTTTATATCAAACATCAATTCAGGTAAAAATTTTGTAATGCTACTAAGAGCAATCACTTCCAATTGAGTAATATCCCAATGGCACATTTCTTTACCAAAAGCATCTAAAAACTTGCCTTTATGATCCCTTATAACTCCTCCAATCCCTACAAGATTTGATATTAAGAGAGAAGCATCAACATTAATCTTAATCCAATAAGGAGGGGGATGCCAAAAAGTTTGGTTCAATTGTATAAGTTGGTTAGCATCCCAGAACACCTTAATCAGATTTAGGCTTCGTTTGGGACGGCTTTCTTACAGCTTCTTAAAGCAGCTTTTTAGTACACAAATTAAAAATTTTGTACTAGAAAGCTGCTTTAAGAAGCAGTAAGACATCCGTCCCAAACGAAGCCTTAAATGAGGACACAAAGCAGATTTTAGAACTTCAACTGCAGCAATTGAAGGAGTTGGAACATTCATACCAAGCTTAAGAACATTACTAGCTTTCCATGATTGGCAGACATAACTTTAACAAATATGAATCAATCGTGCATTATGATGAACTTTCCGCTCCAGTTCAGTTACGCATTCATTCCAAAATTCCCCATTAATTAACTCTGTAAATAATGTCCTGCAAAAAATTACAACCATCAGTAATATGTCTTCACTTGCTTGACTTCCTCTCGGGCAATAATTCACATCCAAAAATCTTCCATATACTAACCATGCATTAGTAGGTAGTGAATTTCTCGCTGATCTCTACCATAATAATTCCTCTTTAGGCATCAGATGCAAAGATTTAATCCAATGCAGCTTATATTCATTGCCATGAACATTAGCAATTGACTTTTCAAAAGACAGCTATAATAGTAACCTAAATCTCTCGACATTTGTCACCTAAATCTATTGATAATAAAGAAACAATGAAATTACATGCATGGGAGTTCCTAATCAAGAGCATCGATTGGATCGAGGGTGTATTACAGGGCAAATTATTAGGTGTAGATACCGGACAGAGAGAATAATTCGGATTTCTCTCAGTCTACAGTAAAAGCACAGTTACTGTAACAGCTGCGTTTTAACTGCACTTATACTGTAGACAGAGATAAATCCGGATGATTCTCTATGTCCAGGATCCGCGCCTAATAATTTTTCGTATGTGTTACAGAGACAAAAAAAGTCACTTGGGAGCTCAAATCAATACACAGGTTTGCTTGGTGAAGGTAGTGATGGGTCTAGCAAGAGGGAGATCCTGTGCAGCTCAGGCCATTTGTATAGGAATTGCAGAATTCATTTTACAATTCAGAACGTGTTATGCAAGAACTTATTAGGAGAAGGCATTGATTGGCCCAGAATGATGAGATCCAACAAGTCAATAACTTCATTAAATAAATATTATATTATGTAAATAATAAAATTTAAATATAAAATATTAAATTTTATTATTTAAAATATTATGAAGATGAATCCTTAAATTTTAATATATTACATATACATAGTACGTCACTAATGAAACATTAAAATGAATTCGTTAACAAATTCGTTTTTTCCATGGAGAGCCATTGCTTTACGGTTTTGCCCACGCGCCAAGCTGCAAACACCCTCGAACAAATTTTCATCGTCATCACTTACGTTAGCGAAGCAAGGAACTCGATCACTCGTCAGCCTATAAATTATAATTGTAGTCTCCAGCCACCATAAATCAACCACAAGTCGCTCAATACCAACAAAGATTAGTCAATCGATCAGCACTTGGAAGTCGAATTCAATTTAGAATCATCAATGGAAAAGCCGCAGCAGCACATCCTGGTGGCCTGCTATCCTGCCCAAGGCCACATAAACCCCACCCTCCGCCTCTCCAAACGCCTAGCCCATGAAGCAGGAGTTCGAATCACCTTCTCCACCGCCGTCAACGCCCACCGCCGCATGTTCCCAAACCAAGAAGCAGGAGTACTCCATGACGATCTCTTTGCTTACATCCCCTATTCCAATGGTTATGACGACGGCTTCGACCCTAAGATACACGACATTAGAACAACCATGTACGACAGCAAGCAAAATGGCTCCAGAAGCCTCGCCTCCATCGTTGATGATCAAGCCGCACGCGGCCAACCCGTCACCTGCATAATCTACTCTTTCTTCATGTCGTGGGCAGCCGAAATAGCTCGCGAACGCGGCATCCCATCCTTCCTTTTCTGGATCCAGCCCGCCACAGCTTTCGCGGTCTATTGGCACTACTTTCACGACTACAAGAGCATCCTGGCCGCCAACGTTAGTGACCCGTTAAGCGTCGTGAACCTTCCCGGGCTGCCTCCGATGAGGATCCGTGATCTTCCCTCCTTCGTCACCGAAAACTCACCTGAAGGCCCCTATGCTGTATTTACTCCTTTTATTCGGGAGATGTTTGAGATGCTGGACACGGAGATTTCGATACAGAGCTCGAAGCCAATGGTGATCTCGAACACGGCAGATGAGATGGAAGCGTCGGCCATTATGTCTGTAGCCGATGAGGTAAATATCGTCGGAATTGGTCCGTTGCTGGAGGATACAGTGGAAGGGAGTTTGTTTAAGTCGGATGATAAGAAAGAGTACATGGATTGGCTCGATAGGCAGGAGGAGAAGTCGGTGGTGTATGTTTCTTTTGGGAGCATCTCAGTGCTGCAGAAGGATCAGTTAGAGGAAATATGGAAAGGGTTGAGGCGGAGCGGGAGGCCTTATTTATGGGTGGTGAGGAAGGACAACAGGTGGGAAGGGCAGGAACTTGAAGAAGATGAGGATGAAGAAGTGAAGAAGGGGATAGTGGTGGAGTGGTGTTCGCAGGGGAGGGTGCTTGAGCACAAGGCCGTGGGGTGTTTCGTGACGCACTGCGGGTGGAATTCAACGGTGGAGAGTCTTTTGTGTGGCGTGCCGACGGTAGCGGTGCCACAATGGACGGATCAGTTAACGAACGCGTGGCTGATGGAGAAGGCGTGGGGGACGGGTGTGAGGGCGGAGGTGAGCAAGGATGGGTTAATGGAAGCAGACGAGTTGCGACGGTGCCTTGAGATTGTGATGGGGGAGGGGGAAAGACCTGAGGAAATTAGGAGGAAAGCGGATATGTGGAAGGAAAAAACTCGTCAGGCGACTGTAGCAGGAGGTTCATCGCATAGAAACTTAATGAGATTTGTGCAGGAGATAGCAAGCTGATCTGTGGGCATAAATTTATTATTATTATTATTTACTATTGATCGAATATTCATTTTCATCCAACTCATCTTGTTCTGTTGGTTGAGAACTTATGCTTTCAACTAAGAGGTATGGGTTGAGTCTTTGTGTTTGCGTTGTTTGTGTGAGTTTGCCTTAAATGGCCTAAATGTTCAAAAAAAAAAAATATTCATTTTCTTCCTTGAATTAATGGGCCACTTTCTATTCTGCATGTCTTTTGGATGGACGATTACTAATTTGTACTTTATGGCTCAAAAGAATTTATTTTGGTCGACTCAAGTCTTCATATTTAATTTTAGCTTAATTATTTATCATATGTAAATATGATATTTGTTCCTAATTATTTCTTTATAATATATAGTAGCATCCTAGAATATTCACGGCTATAGAGAAACATAAGCTTTAATATTTTAGTTTTATAAGAAGATCCAACATCCAATCAAATAAAAGAGAGTGTGTAGTATTTATAAGAGACGCCAAAATTTTTTACGTGGAAACCCCTAAAAACGAAGAAAAATTATGGGGCCTAACACAATTTATATGAATTCACTAGTATTTGCAGTCAATTACAAATGAGTCCTTTATTTGGGGGAAGGCTTTGATTTGATGTAGCAAATATACATCATATAGATTGCTTTACATAGTGGGAATTGGAAGAATCAATATTAACATGTTCATTTAGTCTGCAAAAACTATAGTCGACGGGCAACGGAGGTTGGAAAGATTGTAGTCAGGTGAAGCTAATCGTAAGAATCATAGTCGGCGAGCAACGAAGGTCAGAAATACCATTTTCAGGCACTGGAGGTCGGAAGAACCTTAATTGACATTCTATGAAGGTCAGAAAGACTATTATCAGGCGATAAAGGTCGGAAGGACTGTAGTTGGCTGGTGACGAAGGTCAAAAGTACCATACTCGACAGGTGATGGAGGTTAGAAGGATCATATTAGGCAGGAGACTGTGGTAAAATAGATAGTTGTCTAGCGACGGATGTTGGAAGTACCATAATTAACAAGCAACAAATCATGATTAGAAAGATTGTAGTCTTGTGATTGAGGTCGGAAGGACCATAGTTTGACAACGAAGGTTGGAAGGACTTGTTAGAGATAGAGGTCAGAAGCACCGCAATCGACAAATGATATTGGCCAGAAAGATTATTGACTAGCGACGAAGGTCTAAAAAATCGTAGTCGACGAGTGATGGAGGTCGAAAAGACTATTGTCAGATGATGGAAGTAGGAATGATTGTAGTTGATAGGTGATAGTGATCAGGAAGACCATTGTCTTGTGATAGATGTCTGAAGAACCATAGTCAACGCGCGAATGTGGTTCACTAAAGGAAAATTGTAAATTATCGACGGATTTTTCGGTGGAAAATTCTAAATTTTTCGGTTGATTTCAAAATTTTTCGGTTGATTTCAAAATTTTTTGGTTGATTTCAAAATTTTTCGGTGGATTATCAGTGAAAGCATTTTTGACAGTAAATTGAGTATCAGTAAATTGTTCAATCGGAAAAAACCGCCGGAAAAATTTTCCACCAGAAAAAGTCAGCCAGAAAATTTTCCGGCTACTGTCCGGCAAAAAATATTCTCGTGAATAACTTAAAATCATTTAGAAAAAGCTCCGCCAGGCCCGCATAACCTCGTAGCCTGGCCCCGGCCCGCAGGCGCAAGCTCCGCCTAGAAAATATGTATATATATGTGGGCATGAGCAAAAAAACATTAATTTAATAGCACATATATCATATACATTGTGCTAAAAATTAAAATTATTGGAATCAACATAAAAGTAAAAATTTTTGCATCTTAGGATATTTTTTAATGTAGAAAACAAAATTTAACATTTTTATTTTGAACGAAGATTCAACAAGAAGACAAATAAAAAAACTATAAGAGAACAATATTTTTATTTATTTGAAAATTCGAAAAGAAAAATATTATTCGGCATTGTCCAAATAAAATAGTTTATTATATAAATGTGATCATAAAAGTCAACTCTTCCCTTTTGTGGCTTCGATATACTAGAAAAGCTGTCAGGAGGATAATGAAAATTAGAGAAACGACATTCAATGGTGGATGTCAATATTACACAAAGCTGATAGTGGTAAAGTGATAATGCCATAAGAAAATTGAATGATTATAGTTAGGTGACTTGCAATTGGACGATGAATCTAAGGTGATATAGGCACTACACGTGTACCTTAGCTTTATGATTTGGTTTATTTAATATTAACTCGATTATTTATTATCAAGTTTGAATGTTGTGGTGTGCCTTTATTTTTCCTTTTTTATTTCTTAAAGGGAGTATAGTAGCTATGGTTGTGTTATGTTTGTACTCATACTTATGCCTCTTAGTTCATTACATTGTTGTTGCTTTATATGCCTTTTCTATGTATCAAACATTTAAAGGTTAAATTTTCAGTTGCAAAATTTATTAAGGTATAAATTCATAGGGAGTTTTAAAACTCAAAACATGTGCACAAAATGAAAGTTTGTTAGTCATTATTAAAGATAGGGAGAATATTGACCCATGAGCCTAGAGGTACATTGTAAATTATTTATGATCATAAATATATTTTGATTGAGACCATATATTTTAAATTTAGACTAATTCTTGATTATGCATGTTTTAGTACTAATAAAATGTAGTGTACATGAGAGTTTATTTACAAGCGTGATGTGTAAATATGTATAATACAAACACTCAAATAATGACCATAGCTCATGTACAAAATGTTAGCATAAACATACACAAATTTAGAGTTTCAGTATGATTTAGAAAAAAATTGAATGAGAGTTATATTGGTAATGTTCATCTCTTATATATTTCTTATTTTTAAGTCATTTTGTATATGTATTCCATGTAAAAATACTTGTGAAACAACTATAGCATGGAAAAAAACATAGGAAAAATCAAGAAAAAACTACTTTTAATTTTTAATTAATACAAAGTAATCATATAGATCATATAACATGATGTCAATCATATTATACAAGATTACCCACATATGAATATTACATAGAAGATATATTTGAATTAATTAGGGTATTCTTGCAATCCATTAAAAAAAATTATCATATATGATGCTTAATGTATTATAAGATAACTTTAAATCAACTTTAATCCATCTTACAACTATCCCCTAATTCGTTTAATTCAAAAATTCATAATACTCATAGTGTATGATATATGTCATATTGTATGGTAAATTTTAAATTTTAATCTAATTAAGTTGAGATAATTAATGGGCTAATTAATGAATATTTGGTTAAACCATTTATGTTGTAAAATAAGTATTATGCAAGATTATTTAAGGAATGATAAGTTGCTATTTTATACTAATCAAACTATATAATGTGTACGACACAATGTATGATCTACCCACATTTTAAAATGACATTTATAGAGACAATTTTTTGACATTTTATAGAAATACTTATTTATGAACCCTTGAATGTGAGAGAGCTAAAAATTTCTAAGTTAATTAAAGGGGAAGGGTTTGCTTTTGAAAGTGACATTTTTCTTTTATTTGAATACCCTAAAATGTGATATCACATTATGAAAAATGCGCAAGTGAGGTTGTCCCATTCTTCTCTTTCAACTTAATCTTATAGTTGAGTTTTGTTAGCTTGTTGCAAGCTTGTTGTTATTGAGATTATATTGTATCCATGGGATGTTAGAAGTCTTTTTGGTTGGCTTATTAGCTAGTTGGTAGGCAAGAATAATAACATTATCACTTGAAGTAGATGAGGATGCATTATTTTTCCAGTGCCTGTTAAGGAGAGGGGCTCCTCTACCCTGTTTTGGTTGAAGGAGAGAGTAGTGGAATCTTGAGTTTAAGGGATCAAGGTGTGGACTCATGCATTAGTGCCAAATCACATAAAAACTAATTGATAGCACCTTTTTCTCATGATCCTTATTTTGCTACATTCTTATTTATTTTCTTTCTTTTGAGTTTCATAACTACAGCTTAATTCATGACATGTCTAGTAAAAAAAAATATTTATAGCAATTTGTCTTTGAAATTATCTTGCTATTTACTTTAGAGCATGTTATCTTTTCTATATTAATTAAATAAATTAAAAAGTTGCTCATTTAATACTAATTTTAGCATTTTAGATTCTACTTGTAGAGTTAGCTACAAGGAAGAAAATAACTCCAATTCACTCCCACGTAGCTGTCTCCATTCATTACTTGTCTTAATTGGGATATCCACCACATGGTAGGCTAAGATAATCACCAAGGCATTTCAATTAGAACTATGCCCATAAGTTTGAGCTACATTCCAAGGAATATGACATGCATGGATTTTGTTTTTTATTAAGAAAGTGACTTTAACAATATGAATTTGATCTATAATGATATGAAATAGAACTAAAATTTAAGAGTTTTGATTAATATCTAGCACAACTCTGAATCTATACCAAGAGGTAAGAAGGAAATTTATCTTAATTAAAAATTTGCATTGAGATCTTTAGTTAAAAAAATATATTTTCTTAAATTGACTTTTAAGGTTGATTATTAATTTATTAAAGTTTATAAAAAAATAATTTATCCTAGAATCCTACAAAAAAAAAAATTGATTTCTAATAATAATCTACACAATAGTAAATATATATGAGAAAACTATGTGACTATTTAACTACTAATAAAAGGAAAGGTATAGAATAATACCGACACATAGACTTGAAGAATAAAGTAAAGGCTAGTATGACGAGGAATCTACATATACATGCATACAAAAAATTATATATATATATATATATATATATATAACTTTAGAAAATCATAACTTTAATTCTACCTAGAGAAATTCAACGATGTTACTGTCAAAATGTCCACAATATTTATATCTATTATATATAAAAGGTTATACAGTAAAAATTCAATAAATTATGAGAAAATATAATTTTATCGATTTAAGAAAGAAGAAATTCATCAAACTCAAAATTATTGAAAACTAAAATGAGATTTAAGTTACTTATAATGAATAAAAGAAATCTTTGAATAAATTGACAGACAAAAAAGCTCCAAACAATCTTCTTTCCCCTCCTCTCTTCCATCTTTGGCAAGACACGGTGTTAAAATTCAGATTTTTCATTTAAAAAATTCAAGTTATTACATCACCAAACACCAACATGTTATCAGCATACAATATAAAATATAATAATTTTCTTTACTTATGCCTTTAAATTAGCCTCTCAAAATA